CGAGGGCTGTGCTGTGCTGGGCCGTGCTGAACTGCGATGTGCCATGCCGCGATTGTGCTCTATATAGCGTTGTGGATCGAGTCCTCCCTGGCATCCGAGTCCTGACCGAACTGATCTGGATCTTAAGCTCGAGCTGCCTGAGCAGATGGTAGCTGCCCCAGAACTAATCGACAGAGGGGACATGCCAGGAGGACGCGCCGCGGAACGTCCCAAGGGACGCGCCAGGCGACGTGCCAGGGGACGTGCCATGGGCACGCACCGCGGGACGTGCCAAGGGGACGCGCTACGGAACGTGCCAGTGGACGTGCACCGCGCGACGTGCCAGGGGGACTCACCACGGGACGCTCCGCGGAACGTGCCAAGCAACATGCCAGGCTGCAATTCTAAGGGTATCGATATTGATGTGCTGTGCCGAGGGGCGACCTGGACACGTGAAAACACGCGTTTCGCTCAAGACGTTCTCAGCACATCCTCATGCTAGACATCCGCCTGGGCAACCTGGACACTTGCAAACAAGCGTCTCGATCGAGACTTCCTCGACAGACATCCGCCTGGGCGACCTGGACACGTGAAAACAAGCCTCTGGTTCGAGACACCCTCAACAAATCCTCATGCTAGACATCTGTATGGGCAACCTGGAGGCGTGAAACCAAGCGTCTCGCTCGAGACATCCTCAAGACCTGGGCACGTGAAAACTAGAATTTCACTTGAGAGATCCTCTGAATTCAGGTCCCCAGGAGAGGACAATCTATAACACAAGACAAGCGTTTCGCTCGAGGCATCCTCAACAAATTATGAATAACAAGCGTTTCGCTCGAGACATCCTCAAATTGCCCACTTCGACCTCGATATTTATCGCAAAAGAAATTCGCCGGCCCACCTCGAGTCAAACCCGGGGGGAAACAAACTAAAAGAGAACCCTGGGCCTAAGCCCTTTCCGGGAAAAACAAACAAACAAACAAACAAGCAAATAAGCAAACAAACAAAACAGCTAACAAAAGTCGCAAAAAATATCCCCTGACGATTTTTTCACCATGTTTGAACATTCCTCCTGTCGAGGGACAGGCCCGACTTATAAGGCCTCGGCCAGGAAGGCGCACAGCACGGTGCACCCTGCCGGGGCCTCCACGGCCCTGGCCCGGCACGCCTGTGCACCAGAGGGCCTCTGCGGCAGGGACCTCTTCTGGCGTTAGGTCGGGCATGTCCCCCTTACAGGCGGATCCTGGGCGAAAACTTACAAAAGTCTCAAGAACTGCCCCCAAATAGTCAAAAAATCATCAAAAGTCGTCTCCAGACTATTGTTGTCCTATTTTTCCCCATATCCTAAGATGGGGTTCTTGTTATTACTTGGACGCCTCCTACTCCTTTTTCTCCCTCCTCCTCTTTTCTCCTCCCCTCCTGTCGGACTTACTCATACTCACACTTGCTCATACTCAGACTCACTCATACACAGACTTACTCCTACTCAGATTTACTCATACTCAGACCTACTCATACTCAGACCTACTCATACTCAGACATACTCATACACAGACTTACTCATGCACAGACTTACTCATACCCAGACGTACTCATACATAGACTTACTCATACCCAGACTTACTCATACACAGTACTACTCATACTCAGACTTACTCATACCCAGACGTACACATACACAGACTTTCTCATACACAGACCTACTCATACCCAGACTTACTCATACACAGACTTACTCATACACAGACTTACTCATACTCAGGCATACTCATACTCAGACCTACTCATACTCAGACTTACTCAACACACATCAGATTTGGAGGATGTCTCAAGCGGGGCGCTGGTTTCAGCACCCCTAAAGGGGGCCGCCAGGGGTGTTTGCACGGGCTCGTTCGCGGCCATTTTGTGGGGATGTCTCAGGCGGTTTGCTTGTTTCTGGGCCCAACATCCTTCGCTTGGGAGCAGATTGTGAGGATGTCTCAGGCGGGGCGCTGGTTTCAGCACCCCTAAGGGGAGCCGCCAGGGGTGTTTGCACGGGCTCGTTCGCGGCCATTTTGTGGGGATGTCTCAGGCGGTTTGCTTGTTTGCGGGCCCAACAGCCTTCGCTTGGAGAGCAGATTGTTAGGATGTCTCAGGCGGGGCGCTGGTTTCAGCACCCCTAAGGGGAGCCGCCAGGGGTGGTTGCACGGGCTCGTTCGCGGCCATTTTGTGGGGATGTCTCAGGCGGTTTGCTTGTTTCTGGGCTCAACATCCTTCGCTTGGAGAGCAGATTGTGAGGATGTCTCAGGCGGGGCGCTGGTTTCAGCACCCCTAAGGGGAGCCGCCAGGGGTGGTTGCACGGGCTCGTTCGCGGCCATTTTGTGGGGATGTCTCAGGCGGTTTGCTTGTTTCCGGGCTCAACATCCTTCGCTTGGAGAGCAGATTGTGAGGATGTCTCAGGCGGGGCGCTGGTTTCAGCACCCCTAAGAGGGGGCCGCCAGGGGTGTTTGCACGGGCTCGTTCGCGGCCATTTCGTGGGGATGTCTCAAGCGGTTTGCTTGTTTCTGGGCTCAACATCCTTCGCTTGGAGAGCAGATTGTGAAGATGTTTCAAGCGGGGCGCTGGTTTCAGCACCCCTAAGGGGAGCCGCCAGGGGTGGTTGCACGGGCTCGTTCGCGGCCATTTTGTGGGGATGTCTCAGGCGGTTTGCTTGTTTCTGGGCTCAACATCCTTCGCTTGGAGAGCAGATTGTGACGATGTCTCAAGCGGGGCGCTGGTTGCAGCACCCCTATGGGGAGCCGCCAGGGGTGGTTGCACGGGCACGTTCGCGGCCATATTGTGTGGATGTCTCAGGCGGTTCGCTTGTTTCTGGGCTCAACAGGGAGGGAAATGACAGGAACGAGGATGAGGAGGAGGAACAGGAGGAGGAGGAGGAGGAGGTGGGGGATCGTGAGGAAGGGCATGGGGGTGCGGAGGGGGAGGGGGAGCAGGAGGATGAGGAGGAGGAGCAGGAGCAGGAGAAGGGAGGGGGCGGAGGAACAGGAGGAGGAGGAGGAGGAGGGCGCTTTGCTCGAAGGTCCTTGACGCGAGCAGAACGTTTGTTCCGAAGTCCAGGACATATATATATATATATATATATATATATGTATTCATAGGGGGTGACTGCGAGGGGGGGCGGTGGTTGTGTGCGGGGATCGTTGGAAATGCTCACCGTGGCACTATCCTCCAACATGACATGCACTTATGGCCTTGTGTGGCTAAACGCTCGTCTTACATATCCCACTGCCAACTATCCTACAACATATGCACATGTGGCAAGCTCCAAAGCTACCACGGGCTGAAAAGGGGAAGGCCTGGCAGCTGAGGAGGGGGGATGAAGAGGAAGAGGCTCGCATTCAACCATACTCAAAGCTCACTCTGACTCATACGCAATCACTCGCATTAGGGGTCACTCGTCTTCGTCGGCCCTGTCGCCCACGTGGACGCGCTATTGTAGTCGACCGCTCATGAACAGACGCTCACCACGGCATGACATGAAACATGAGATGCACATATGGGGAGCTCCACGCAGTGAGTAATTGAATACTCCCCCTGTGGGGGGAGACAACCCCGACTTGATTCTGGCGCGAGCGTCGGCTAGAGGGACTCGGACGAGAAGGTCGCCACGTGGTCCCAAAACCTCAGGCCGACAGGGCCGGCCTCCGCGCCCTCGCCCGCCGGCATCACAAGGCTCAGCGCCTCCCGAAACTCCTCCTCGTCGTTGAGGGCCTCGGCGCCTCCTTTTCCTCTTCACCTTCCTCCTCTCCTCCTCTCTCCTCCTCCTCCTCCTCCTCCTCCTCCTCCTCCTCCTCCTCCTCCTCCTCCTCCTCCTGCTCCTCCTCCTCCTCCTCCGAGCCCGACCCGCTGCCCGAAGCCGAGCCTGACCGCTGCCCGATCCGAGGCAGAGGGCACGCCGCTGACCCATCCGCGGCCTCGCGGTCTGGATTCGGGGGGCGCGATCCCGCGGATGCGCGGTCGCACGGATGCGTTCCGCGCGGGGCATCCGCGGAACAACGCCCCGCATCCGCGGGGGTGGCCCAGGGGCCCGGCCCGCGACGCCGCGGATGCTGATATGCTTCAAGCCCAGGACCACGTACAGGAGCGCAAGCGGCCCAAGAGCGCCTGCGGCCCAAACCGACGGCCGATCCCAATCGCTGGGCCCCCAGAGGCGCCACAGCACTCCGAAATGCCCGCTGCCCGAAGCCGAGCCCGAACCAGGGCCCAATCAACAGAAGAAGGAAGTGCGACAACAGAAGCGTAAAATTTCAGAGATCCACGCGGACCTCGGAAAGACTATGCCTGTGCCGCCACTTCTCTGTGTTCTGCCAAATCCAAAGCCCTGTGGGGGCCCCGGCCCCGGCTGGCCCAGCCCGATCCTGACCCTGCTCCTGCCAGCCGAACGGCCCGATCCTGATCCTGCCAGCTGACGGCCCGAACCCGATCCCGATCCAGCCGCGCCCGACCCCACCCCAGAGTGCTGGGCACCCCGCAAACCCAGGCCCCCGACGCCAGGACTGCTTCAGAGCGTGGACCCCCGGATGCCTCGACCCCTTCCCCCGGCCCGGCGCTCCTCCTCGCAGCCGTTCCTGGACGGTCCCGGGGCCCTGGCGAGGGCCCCCCGGCGCCGCAGAAACGGCCGAAGACCGCCCGTCGTGACTCCTTCACGACCTCGGCCGCCCCCCGCCCCCGAGCCGAGCGGGCGGCTGGTCGACCCCGACCGCGCCCCCCGATCGACGCATCGAGGGCTCCCGAGGCCAGGGGCCCGGTTGTCGCCCCCCGGGGGCGCCGGGCCTGCGGCGGCACCTGGGGGCCCGTGGACGCCCCAGGCGGGGGGGGGGCCAGAGACTCTCTGGACTCAGGCTATATACCCAAAGGGCAGCCAAGCCGAGCGGGCGGCTGGGCCCCGACCGCGCCCCCCCGATCGACGGATCGAGGGCTCCCGAGGCCACGGGCCTGGTTGTCGCCCCCCGGGGGCGCCGGGCCTGCGGCGGCACCGCCGCCACCTGCCGGGGCTGCTCTCCAAACAAGGGGCGCGGCCGCCCGTGGGCGGCCCCGGGCCACACGCGAGCGGCGCGAGCAAGCTGATGGGCATGTCTTCCACCACCACCACCACCACAAGTTGGAGGGGGGGAGGAGGTGGAGGACGAGGAGGAAGAGGACGAGGACGAGGACGAGGAGGAGGACGAGGACGAGGAGGAGGAGGAGGAGGAGGAGGACCCCCTCCCCCTCCAGCTTATGGTGATGGTGGTGGTGGAAATCAAGCCCATCACAAGCGGGTCTTGCGCGAGAAGACACGGCGACCTGATGCCGCGGCCGACGCGGGCCGCCAGCGCGGCGCACCGCGTCGAGAAGAGGGCGCGCGGCCTTGCGCGGGCAGCTCACGCGCGACTGTCCGCGCAGTCGAGTCCGCGTTTCTTCGTCGCTCACGCGGTTGCCAGGCGCCCCCCACACGAGGACCGCAGGGCCCCTGGGGGCTGGGAGGCACCTCGGGTCACAGGGCCGGCTGCACGCAAGGGTGGCCCTGGGCAAGCATGAACTCCCCAGACAGGCTCGCGGCGTGAAACATGATGGACCCACGAACCCGGAAAGGGATATAGACATGTGGAGCATGGACACGTTTTCATGATACCCAACTGGGCAACACCTCACGAAACATCCCACGAGACACCTCACGAAACAGCCCACGAGACACCTCACGAAACATTTCACGAGACACCTCACGAAACATTTCACGAGACACCCCGCGAAACATTCCACGAGACACCCCACGAAACATTCCACGACGACAGGCAACCACTCAACCAAGGCGGTGTGGTCGTGCTGGGGAGTGGTCGTGCTGGGGTGTGGTCGTGCTGGGGGGTGGTCGTGCTGGGGGGTGGTCGTGCTGGGGGGTGGTCGTGCTGGGGCGTGGTCGTGCTGGGGCGTGGTCGTGCTGGGGCGTGGTCGTGCTGGGGCGTGGTCGTGCTGGGGCGTGGTCGTGCTCGTGCTGGGGTGTGGTCGTGCTGTGGTAAGGTCGTGCTGGGGTGCGGTCGTGCTGGGGTGTGGTCTTGCTGGGGTGGGGTCGTGCTGGGGTGTGGTCGTGCTGGGGTGTGGTCGTGCTGGGGTGTGGTCGTGCTAGGGTGGGGTCGTGCTGGGGTGGGGTCGTGCTGGGGAGTGGTCGTGCTGGGGTGTGGTCGTGCTGGGGTGTGGTCGTGCTGGGGCGTGGTCGTGCTGGGGTGGGGTCGTGCTGGGGTGGGGTCGTGCTGGGGTGGGTTCGTGCTGGGGTGCTCCGCACCCTGTGATTTTTCGATCGGGTCGTGCTGGGGTGTGGTCGTGCTGGTCGTGCTGGGGTGGGGTCGTGCTGGGGTGGGGTCGTGGGGTGTGGTCGTGCTGGGGTGGCACCCTGTGATTTATCGTGGTCGTGCTGGGGTGTGGTCGTGCTGGGTGTGGTCGTGCTGGGGTGTGGTCGTGCTGGGGTGTGGTCGTGCTGGGGGTGGTCGTGCTGGGGCGTGGTCGTGCTGGGGCGTGGTCGTGCTGGGGCGTGGTCGTGCTGGGGCGTGGTCGTGCTGTGGTGAGGTCGTGCTGGGGTGTGGTCGTGCTGGGGTGTGGTCTTGCTGGGGTAGGGTCGTGCTGGGGTCGGGTCGTGCTGGGGTGTGGTCGTGCTGGGGTATGGTCGTGCTGGGGTGGGGTCGTGCTGGGGTGGGGTCGTGCTGGGGTCTGGTCGTGCTGGGGTGTGGTCGTGCTGGGGTATGGTCGTGCTAGGGTGGGGTCGTGCATTTCGCTCGAGACATCCTGCCAAAATTCCAGGAAATCGTACAAAAACAAAGGAATTAGTCGAGACATCATCGAAATTCCTTCGCGCGGGGCGCTTTTCCGCGTCGCGGTCGGCTCTGCAAAACAAGCGTTTCGCTCGAGACATCCTCGGCAAACTCTGCGGAGCAAGCGTTTCGCTCGAGACATCCTCAACACACGAAAAAGTGGCCCGCACCCTGTGATTTATCGATCGGGATTTCAAAAACAAGCGTTTCGCTCGAGACATCCTCAAATTTTAATTCGCCGGCCTCCTTCGACCTCGTTATTTATCAGGGAAAAAATTCGCCGGCCTCCCTCAAGTTGGCACCGGGGGACAGGTTTACCTACTAAAAGAGAACCCTGGGCCCATGCCCTTTCCGGGAAAAAGTCACGGCGGGAGGTACTCAGCCGATTTCGGCCTCCGGGGGACCCCGCCGCGCCCTGGCACCGTCCAAAAGCGGCTCGGGACGAGAAGCGGGCCCAGGGGAATGGGTGGGGACTTCTGGGGGCCCTAAGGATTCCTATAGATTTTCTACTCCTCCTCCTCTTCCCTTTCCCCAAAGAAAATCCGATGGATGTCCAAAGGCATCCTCTTGATGTCGTTACGGATTTGCATGGATTTCCTAAGGAGCCCGATGGATTTCGCAAGATTGAAAAAGGCCTGGGGGGGGCGGGGGGGGGGGGCGACATCTGGTGCGCGGCTGTAGGGGGCCGCAGGGTGGCCAAGCCCAGGCGCGCGGGCTGGTGCTGGGGGGAACCCATGTGGGCCCGCACCCGAGATCACGCCAGTGAAGGGCCGCATGGCCGCATTCTACGACAAAAGCGGGGTGAGGACAAATTCCGGATGAAGCTACATCGGGAATCTCTGAGAGCCGGCAGTTCTGGAAGAGGTATCTTTGGACGCCTGGCGTGGGAACGGAAACATTTGGTATGATGCCTATGTTGCCCAAAACCGACAGCGGCCGCTGTTGGGTAGGCGGCCTTCTGCCTCATGTGGACAACGTCCGCGGCGACACAGACAGGGATCCCTGTTCAAAATGAACAGGAACTGCTGTCGGTCTCCGCACCGAGTCGTTCCGTACCCCCCATCTCAATCGTACCGAGTAGGGTGAGGGCATTGGATAAGAAACCATTGAATAAGGAACCCAGGGTCTGGAAGTCTGTGGAACTCCAACCGTGGATTGGCCATGGAAATTACTCCCGCCCTCCTCAGGTAAATAATCCTCCAGGGTCTGAAGCCTCCTGGGCACATTCCTTGACAAACGTCCCCACCATATCGGGCACCATGGTCGTTCCAGAACGTTCTGGAACGCTCAAAGCGGAAACATATATTGTTTTTACCCATGTGCTAGATGTATAGCAAACAAGAAAACAAGAAAGTGAACAAACCAACAAACCAAGTAACAAACAAGCAAGCAAACAAACAAGCAGACTGACAGGCAGATAGACAGATAGACAAATAACTAAATAAGCCAAGAGCGAAGTAAAATAAAAGGACAATAAATACGGAAACGAACACACACACACACACACAACACACACACAGAGACACACACGCACACGCACAAACAAGAAACACACAACACAAACAACAACAACAAACACAAATACAACACCAATACCAACAACAACAACAACAACAGCAGCAACAACAACGACAACAACAACAATTAGTGTATTATCATGCGCGATGCCTCCACATGCAGCATGCGACCATCATGATAACCATCCCCGTCATTGGGGGATTATTGTTCTATCGTGGTGGCCCTTTATTCCCATTCCCAGATCTCCCGCCCAATGAGGTCTTGCAAACACCTCCTCCGATGAATTTCAACATATATCGCCTCGAAAACACATGCTGCGCCGATGGTCTCGCCAGTGGAGCCCCAGCCAAGGGTAAAGCACAAGGAAGCATCGAGCGACAGGAACGGCTTGGTGGGGATGGGGGCTGTCGGCGGCGAGACGAGGACCTGGCCCTGAATAGGAAGGGAGGAAGTCTCGAGCAGGGGAGCTGTTGTTGCCGGGAGCGGCACCAGTGCAGAGGAAAGTGGGGTGCTGGTCCGGCGTGAACAGCACGAAATCTCGAGCGGGAACGCTGCTTCTGTTGGGACGGCGGCTGTCGGCGGCGAGGAGGAGCACCGCCTTGAGCAAAAAAGGGAGAAGTCTCGAGCGGGAGCCGCGGTCTTGTGGGGACGGGGGCAGTCGGCGGCGAGGAACAGCACCGCTTTCAGGATTCAGGAAAAAGGCAGGAAGGCTCGAGCGGGAGTGCTGTTTTTGCTGGGGGCTGCGCCACATCCAAAGAGAGCCGGGCGCCAGTCCAGCGAAAAACGGGAGGAAATCTCGGGCGGGAGCGTTGGTTTTGTTAGGGCGGCGGTTTTCGGCGGCGAACAAAAACACCGGCTCCGAGTAAAAAAGGGAAGTCTCAAGCGGGAGCGTTGCTCGTGCTGGGGGCGGCGCCCACGAGAGAAAGAGTAGCGCGCCAATCTAAGATAGAATGGGAAGAAGTCTCGAGCGGGAGCGTTGGTTTGTTAGGGCGGAGGTTTTCGGCGGGAACACCGGCCCTGGGGGGGGGGAAAAAACAAAACAAAAGAAAACGTCTCGAGCGGAAGCGTTGTTGTTGTTGTTGTTGTTGTTGTTAGTGTTGTTGTTGTTGTTGTTGTTGAACATTATTCCTTCTAAAGAATTATTATTGTTGGGACCCCTGGTGCGCGACCTCTGCGCCGCGCCTAGGCCGCAGCTACATTTTCATCATTTTTTCGCGAAAGCTTCAGAAAAGTGGATGAGCTCCGGATCCGGTTTTTTGTTGACGCTCGTTTTCCCTTGCAAAAAACAATAGAAAATGAAAATTCTTGTTTTTACTTGATCAAATTGCAAGAATCCCTTGCAAAAAAACAAGGTAAAGTGGACATTCGTGCGCGCAAGACGAAATCCTTCCAAAACCTTAGGTTTCGTAACGATTTTAACATAAAAACATCAAAAACCCAATGGTTTTCTCAGAAAAAATTGTCAAAATGTCCTTCCGCGCGCTCTTGCGGATTCCTAGGAAACCCACCAGATTTTAAACATTTCTGTTAAAAGGGCCTTTGCGAGGAACCTTTTCAGGTGCTTCGACCTTCTGCAACAACGGTTGCGAGCCTACGAGGGCCACCATCCCTTGCAAAAAATGACACGAAGTGCACATGCGCGCGGCCGCCGCGCGCGCGTGCCGAAATCCTGCCAAACATAATGTGAT